GTATAAGTTGCCTTCATCGCCTCTAAGAAGGAAGGTTTAGTTGATGGCTTCAGAAACTCATCTGACACAGAGATGGTATCAGGCTAGGAGTGTCCCCTGGGCTGGCCATGTCTGGCTCAGGAGGGTTATAGCCTGCCCAAAGCTCTGCTCTGCAGGGTGATCTGTCCATGCTCCAGTGCTGACACTATCAGCATCGCTACCGGACAACTGATTTTCCACGGCGGTTGCTCTTCCATGGGTTTGTTTCTAATCTCTGCAGTGCAGTCGTGTGTTTCCTCTGCCACTGGTCTCACCCAGCCTCCACTCTGCCACCTCACTGCTGCGCCCTCACCTCTGTTCTGCACGCATGCAAAGTGACTGAAGAGACCTTGGAATGCCTTCCCTATCCTAGTGCAAGGGCCCAGCTCAGAGGAATGTCTTTCTGGGACACCCAGCCTCTGTTCCGACCCTCTGCTGCTGCTCTTCCTCACCTGCTGAATTCTCCACAGCATTGTTACTGGAGAGGGTTATGCAAATCTATGCAACCCAGGGCTCATTTTGGAATAAATCAATCTAAATTAAAATTAATGAACAAAAAGTACAGAAACACATCAAGCAGGAAAGCCATTCTCTCTCTTTCCCCCTGTGTCTCTCCTTCTTTAAGAAAAATGGTTTCCTTTATTTAGATTTGGTGGGGTTTTTTTTTGGGGGGGGGGGAGGGGGGAAGAATGGATTTTAATTTTTCTAAAGCAATCTCAGCAAACAGAATCTGTTGCTATTCAGAAAACCCCGCTGAGCAATGTTAGTAGCTGTTGTAACAAACAGTTCTTGCCATTTCTCTTTTCATGCTGTTTCCAGCTGCATCCTTACTACCCCTTTTGGAAAACACTATCATCACCTCTGGCTTCAATTTTATTCACTTTAAAGCACATGGTCAAAATAAGATACACCACCCCCCCCTTGCCTGTTACCTATGAAATAGAAAGAAACAATATGATGTTGGCCTTCTGCCTTCACCCTGGCTTGTCCTTCCTGTTCCCTTGGCCTGAACCCCCACTGTCTTGGTACCCAATGCAGTCCCAGCCCTCAGTGCCTGCAGACCTGCAGGAACGGACACTGACCCAAGCAGCAAGAGAAACTTGGCCTTCCTGAGCATTCACCCTGCTCTTCACCATTCCCTTCACTCACCAAATGGAGAATGAGCTCTTTGCAGAACCTTGGTATCACAGGTGGTTTGATATCACAGGTGGAAAGCCAGGAGAGCTGTGAGTTGTGCTTCCCATCGACAGCCATGGGAGTTATCAGATGCTGATGCTCAGGGCTCAGCCAGCAGAAGAGAGGTGTGCTACAAGAAGTCAGACACACAGCTGAACTGTGCCCCCTGAATGCCTGAGAATTTATGGACATGCCAAACTTGCACATGGCTCCAAACATGCCCTCCTGCACTTGGTCCCTATGGCCATTATTCTTCTTTGCTAGTAGTTTTTATATTAGGATCACAATAGAACAACATTGGCTATTTTGACCTCTTTATGTTGCAGTTTCCTCAGCTCTGCCAACTAGTTTGTTTTACAGGGTGTGAAGACTTGGGTTTTCACCCCTTCTTGGAGTCCATTTGAGAAAGCTCCCTCTGGCCTCAGTGGAGTCCAGACATGGACAAGTTCTTTAGTTGGGCATTAACTAAAGAACCTATTGGTTCTTTAACTGGCCACACTGTACTGCAAGGACTGGTTTCTGTAGACTGTTCCCACACCCCTGCCTAGTCAGCAAGCCTCAAACCATCAAAAGTTAATCCTTTATAGCCTGTCCTCTCTGATGTATCCCCCCATGCGTCTCTCCTTAGTTTCAAAATGTTCATCCTTTTGCTAAAGTGACACGGGAGCTGCTTGCTCAGCAGAACTGGCAGGGCCATGCACTAGAGAAAGGGGAGCAGAGATGGGTGGAGGTGACCACTGCAACAGATGAGCTCTCTTCTCCAACAGCTCGGACTTCCATCGGAAGGGAAGAGGACTGAGAAGGTATTAGAAAGAAAGATGCTCTCTGTTTCCCGCTCTGGTCATCAGACCCAAATGAACATCTCTTTTCTCCCTTCCGCCAGCTCCCACCCACCCAGTGAATGCATTAGTGACAGTACAGGCTACGCAGGCTACAGCTAAATGGAGACTAGCTACAGTCTACAGCCATACAGGGTCATTCTCCAATCAGTGTGTGTTTTGGCAGCAAGACAGGCCTGCTTATTCTCCTTTTCCCTCCCCCTTTGCTAATTACTATCACACTATTGCTATGAAGCTTCTGCCACCCTGCTGGTGGCCTCAAAGGTTGGCACACTTGATGCCATGCAGGCAGTTCTGGATGTGCTGGGAAACACATCATCCACCTTTGCAGAGCTTTCAGGGCATTCAAGCTAAGCACACTGAGAAAGCCCTCATCACAAAACTCCTGTGAGGAAGACTTATGGGTTTTGAAGCCCATGGGTCTGGCTAAGCCATTCTGGTGTGGACATTAGGTGCTAATCATGGAGGAGGGAGTCTATGTTCAAAGGGCTGAGGACAAGCGACAGTGAAGGACAGAGATGGAGCTAGTGCCATAACTGTGACAGACCCCTTTGAGGTTCAGCAGTGATCCCACCGGCCCTGTTGTTGGCAGGTATGGTGTGGAATGAGCAAATTTTCCTTTTCCAGAAGAAAAACCCTTCTGAAAAGCCATCTGATGATTCAGTAAGGCCCCCTTTGTGAGAGCCAGGTCTTGTGTCATCCCATTATAACATAATGTTACAATGCAGACAGGGAGATGTGATGATGTGGCATCATCCCAGAAGACATTTCAGGGCATTTTGAGTGCCCGGCTGCAAAATCAAGGAGGCTGGAAAATGTACCAAGGACAATTCCAGTTGAGAGCTGAATCAGCTGGGCTCCACCAGCCTTTTAGGAAACTGCCTCATCAAATTCAAGCCCCATGTGTTTAGTTGAATGGGCTGCTTCTGAGCCTCCAGCCTGCCTGAAAGCAAGGTGTTTCCACAGCAGCTAACTAATGATAGCAATGCTTAGGCTGATTATAGTGCTCTTCGTCCCAGAACACCTTCATTTTAAATCAGTGCTCAAAACCCAACAGGGCAGGGAGGTGTTACCAAGGCTTAAGAGAAATGGAAATTGAGGGAGGAAGGGGGTGGAGGCTGTGATTCTGTCACTGAGAGGAGGCTTATTTGAGAGCTGAGGACTGCATCTCATAGGGAGAACAAGGTCTAACAGGAAAACTTTGCGCCTAAAGTTTCTTTGAAGGTGGACAGCAAAGTAAAGGCGAATGTTGAGATAAGCACCGACGTCTGACAGTTTGATTAGGAGGGGTATTTGGCATGGAAATCCTGCCCTTGCTCACTTGCGGTCTTTGCTTTATCATTTAGCTTAATGGGCTACGAATTCAAACGCAGATGTAAAGAGGGCTGGCTATGAAAAAAATGAACACTGCCTGCCTGGGGAATTTAAGGATGTATAATAAAAATAATCATAAAAAAGGGGAGCCCTGGGTTTTCCATCAGATAAACATATTTGCCATTGAAAATTCTGCTTAAGAAAGAAGAACACCCCGAATTGGAAACCTCCTCAAACCCTTACATCCCAAACAGCCTCAGCAACTTCAATTTCATATCCAAGCACAAGTTTCATTTGCAAAACGCATGATAATAGTGTTTAATTGGATTTATTTTTCCACACTATGGTCCCAATGGCCTACTTTACTCCTCAGCTCCTTGAATGTTATTTACAAATCACTCTCTGGGATTTAATTTTAATGGTAGCTTGATTTCTCCCTTCTCCCCCCCCCCCCTTTTTTTTTTTTTTTTGTAGGTACTGGTACTTTCCTTTAATTGTATTTGCGGATTTGCCTTTTAAATAGGCAATTGTGACTACAGCATGAGCCTGAATTAAGTTGCCAAGAGCAGAGCTTGATTTGCAAAAGGCGGAGTAGTTAAATGGAGCTGGTACAACACCCAGCATTTATTGTTCTTTTCATGGGAGTACCTGCAGGTGCTTTACTCAGGCAGGTGCTCTTTTGCAAAACAAAGCAGGTTCCTAATAACACTCTACCTCAAAGCTCTGCACAGACATTAACCGTTCAGGCCTCTGAACATCCCATGAGTTGAGTGCATCTTCATCATATGGCAGTGAAGCCAAGGTACTACAGGACTCTAGGCCAAGGTTTTTTAAGTGAATACAGGGACTGGTTGCCTTGTTGTTGGTTTAGTGTCAAACATTGCTTTCAGACACTGGAGCCTGCTTTCTGGGAGTGCCCACTCTCCGTGCTTTTGCAGAACCTCAGTGTTGCATCCAAGCATCTCAGGTCATGCTGCATGGACCAGAGGCATGCTTGGGCAGCACAGAGATGGGAAAAATACTCAGACCCTGTTTTGCCTTCTTGCCTTGAAATAAAGCGGGCACTAACACCTCACCCATGTATCTCTTTCCATGCTTTCTGCCTCAAATACAGCACAATGTGACTGGCAGGCTTGGGGGGGGGGGGGGGGGGGGGGTGTGACAGGGGAACAGGAAAACAACGTGCTTCACTGTGAGCAGTTTGCACATCTAAAGTGAGAAAACCTCCTGGCAGTGATTTAATTTTTACCTTCTCATTTGTCGTTTCCACTGTCTCTGCAAAAGTTTAGGTCTGCTTATGCTGTTGATGCAAATACGTGAGCAAAGACAGCTTAGGACAGGACATATACTTGGAGTAGGTCTGTGGAGAAACTGAACCTCACTGAAGACCATCCAGACCTGGTGAGGACACAATGTCGTGGCTCAAAGCTTGACTAAAGATTGTTGCTGTTTAGTTGATTGGTTTTTGAAGAGGAAAGGGGGAAGGATGAGGGAAGTGAGCAGAAGAGACCAAATGACATGTAGACAAGAAGGGAAAGCCCTTATTTTTCTGCATTTCTAACCTGTTTTGCCCATTCTTAGCTCTGAGCATTTGTCAGGATGATGGAGAATGACCCGGCTAACAAGCTACTTCAACATAAAACATATACTGACCTGGAAAAGGGTTGGGGAGTGTGGGTAAAACTCGCTCTAAGGGGGGAAAAAAAACCAATAAGCAACATGCAGGAGAAAAGGACAAGCCACTTTTCACACCAAGCAAGCAGCAGATACAAACCTGATGGAGTTGTCCATCCCCAAATTAGATGAACTAGGTTTTATATACAAAGCATTTTGCTGGCAACACACCTAATACACATCTACATCCCCTGGGACTGAGAGTCAAAGAGAAGTCATTTGAAAAACTAAACAAACAATATCCACGCAGCAAGAGGGATTAAGCACCTGCAGTGAAGGTAATTGGAGCTGATGGGCCATATCTCCCCTCTGACTTTCAAGACCACTCATGTCATTACACTGGAGCTCCTCTTAGCTACACCTCTGGCTGGAAGCTAGTCTTGGCGCAGAGGTGACTTGTGGAAGTCCTCCATGGGGAGTTGCTGCCTCCCTAGAACGTTCTCCACAATGGATTTCTTGCCCCTGAGGATCTGGTCATGGGAACAATCACCCTGGTGAATCCTCAAGGGCACCCTGCTGCTTTTGAGCTGTTGTCTTGTGAGAGGTTTTGCAGACTCATCAGCCTCGAGTTGCACGCAGCCTGCTGTTTGTTTATAGGGGTTTTGCAGTGTGTCCTTGTTACACGTCACAGCAGGACTTTGTCATACATCACTGCTGGCTTCATGCTTTGCTTCTTCCACACAAGGATCTCAAAGGAATTGCACAGACACTGATGGAAACTGGTGTCAGAGACCTCAGTCTGAGGCTAACAGTAGTGTTAATTCTATTTTACAGGTTGTGCAGTTGATACACAGAACAAGGAAGCAATTTGACCAGGGTCAATGCTGAGCTGTTGGCAGAGCCTGATGCAGAACCAAGACTGACTCTGATCACTGGGTCTCCTTTCATTATCCTCAGAGCTTGCTGGATGCCTCGTACTGACTGAGGCAAGTTCCTAGTCATGGACTCATGACCTCATAGCAGCCTTCCAGTATCTGAAGAGGGCCTATAGGGATGCTGGAGAGGGACTTTTCATTAGGGACTGTAGTGACAGGACAAGGGGTGACGGGCTCAAACTTAAACAGGGGAAGTTTAAATTGGATATAAGGAAGAAATTCTTTCCTGTTAGGGTGGTGAGGCACTGGAATGGGTTGCCCAGGGAGGCTGTGAATGCTGCATCCCTGGCAGTGTTCAAGGCCAGGTTGGACAGAGCCTTGGGTTGCATGGTTTAGTGTGAGGTGTCCCTGTCCATGGTAGGGGGTTGGAACTGGATGATCTTAAGGTCCTTTCCAACCCTAACTGTTCTATGATTCTATGACTGTTCAGTAGGTAGACATCTGGCTGTAGACATATGTGTCACTATGCAGCAGCTGATAGGTGTGGGGCATGGAGTTATCTGCTGGCTTACCTGTAAGGACTAATGCTGACTGCTGATGGACATAGGGCTTGGCAAGATACAATGGTAGTTGGATCCAGGCCCAGCTATTTGGAGGCCAATGCTCTTTATGCAGCATCCTTGGTGCAAAGATCTCATTTCTGACTCGCTGGAGCCCATGGGGACATAGCAGGTCAGGCCCACCTCTGTGACACTGGCACATCTCCTGCCCTCTGGCTTCATGGTAATAATGGAGCAGTTTGAATCCACAGCAGGCACCAGAGGAGATTGTCTCTTGCCTAGGAAATACACAGCTAGACTGGATCTCTGTGTTTATGTAGCAACAGGGGACTATTGTTCTGCGAAAGCAGGCTGTTGTGCTGACATGACTTCCTTGTTATTTACTTTGTTTAAATAACTCAGCTCCCCTTTACCTTCTTCCTGCACAGCAGGCTGCAGACTGCACAGCATAAGCAGTTAAAGCAAAGCACTACGGCCTCATTATCATGCTGCTTTCTATTCAAGGACTCTGCTTCTGTTCCCTTCACCTGCTGTGCCTTGCCTTTATTGCTCCACCTTGGCTCCTTAGCTGTGTCTCAGCCTTGCCCTGTCTGGCTGTCACCCCAACCACTTGCCCCCTTCTCCTGGGTCTCCCCATTACTGACAGCCCTGGGAAAACATGGGGGTTGCACTAAGAACCACTAAGAGAGGTTTTGGCCACGCTGATGCTCCAAACCTCAGCAGCAACCACTATAAGCAAATGCTCAGCTGCCATGAAGCATGGGCAGAGTTAGGAGAAGGGATGTAAGTGTGTGCTGTGTGTGCCAGGGCAGTAAAAGATAATGACAAATTAGAGGCCAGTGCCATCTCTTCTTGGGAACATGCCTCTTGCTGCACTCAGAGCTGTGGGATTGCAGTGATTACTCTACCTGAAGCCTCTGGAGGAGGAAAGGGTGGCATCCTGTCTGCTGCTGCTTCTAATTGGCATAGGCCTTGCCAAATGCTGCTTTACCTCCATGTTTCCTTACTCCCTGAAGGGTGCAGAGGATGCAAGCTGTAGAGTACGCGGCAGCGGACCTGCTGAGGTGGCAGTCTTCTATAATTGAGACAACTCAGCCAGCAGAACTGCATGAGGATGTGTGGCACTGCCCCGTTGTCTTCCATTTTATCCTCTGGGATAGGCTAGCTCTGCGGGAGGCAGGAGTCAACTCATTTGGAAGAAGCTTTCATTTCTTTTCTCTGCCTTGCTAGTATGCACCAGGTGCTTCTGTGATGCTTCTGTGCCTGCTTTTACGGACCTCTGTGTGTGTGCTTGTACATCACACGGGTGTATGTGCATGTATGCACACTTACACGCACATAAACCTATGTATCTGTATGCTTGTACAGCAGATATGTATCTGGTACATATATACACATATTTACACTTCTTTGTAGCATGGGTTAAGATACAAATTGTGACTTACAGTCACATACATTCCATAATGCTTTTCATAGCACTCTGTCAGCTGAGTGGAATGAAAAGAAGCACGTTCCCTCCCTCCTAAACACACCTAGGAATGAAACACTTTCCCTTCAGTTGTGGCACTATTTTTCACATCTGTTGCTCTGCAGTGGCAGCCCTGGCTTGGCCTTTCTGTCAGGTAATTTTCACAGAGATCTGTTTTACTGCCCCTTTCCTAGGGCTCACCGTATTTTGTGCTCTTGCAAAGCTGAATCAACCTATTCACCAATGCTGCAAACCACGGGCTTGCCTCCCAACTCCTCATACCCACAGATGTGTGAAATGGCTTTCCCTCTTGCATGGGCTCTGGCACTTGTTGAGCCTGGCCATGAACTAATTCAGCTCATTTCAGCACAAGAAAATGCTTGGCAGCATTTTGGGCAGTGGTTTAGCAGGTTGAACTGGCTCGGTGCAATGTCCATTGACTACCAGAACAAGGGAAACAACAAAAGCACCTGGCAGAGAGGAGGGTGCATGCAAGGAGTGAGGACGAAGGGATGGCAGCAAGCTACTAGATCACTTGTATCACCAGAATATACCTTAGTACCCTCTCTGCAAACATATTCCATATTGCTGTTGGAGAAGGGTTCCTGGGTAAGACAGGCCTTTGGTATGGCCATTTTTATGTTGCTGTAAACTCCAGGAGTGAGGGGTATAAATCTCTCATCCTACAGCAGGCAATCCTGCTGCTACATCCTTTAAAGAAGATCACTAGCTATCTATTCATACAGCTCAAGGGAGCTGCTTTTGTATTTTAATGCATCTCCTATCTATGGCATTGACATCCAAGGCACTCAGTCTCTCCCCGAGTTTTTCAGCGCTGGCTGAGATTTCCTGGAACAGTAGTTGCCCATTTTCCTCTATTGCTAAACTGTTCTTTTACATCATTCTGCTATCTCCACTTCTGTCCTCCACCTCAGGCAAAGCTGCCAGTGCCTCCCTGTTAACTCTCTGGTTGTTCCTTTACTCCTGTGTGACATTCTTTTCTGTGCTGCAATAGGACACTGAGGAGCCATCACTGTATCTGCCTCCTTAGTGGGATGTTGCCCTATGGTGAACTTGCTCTCTATCTGGAAAAGAAACAAAATCTCTGGTTCTAAGGATGAAAACCACTCCCAAGTATTTGAGTGTCTGCTGTACCTTGCAAACACTTGCCACTGCTTTATTTTTCTCCCTGGGTGTGTAGCTGGGGATGTGTATTACCTGTTATTTCAGCTACTGCATGAGCACTACAGCATTTTTTCCATCAGGGCTTATGCTGCTTTCTTTATGAGGCTGGATTCCCTTCACTCATTTCCCCTCTGACTTCTTAACCTTAGAAATACCAGCTTCAGTCTGCCTGAATTTACTTTTATTCCTCTCTCTCTTTTCCACACTAACTAGAAGGAGAACAGAGATTTCTGAAACAACAGGAAGCAATTGCACACTGAAGAAACAGGGATTAACTAAGCAACAAAAATAAAAGTTAGAAACAGTCCATTGAAAACCATCAGATTTCTCTGCACCTCCATTCTTCTGGCTCTTATGTTTTCCAGCATAAACGGGACTTGAATTTCTTAGGTGAAAATGATAACCGAAATCCAACAGCTTGAAAGAAGGAAAGTTTTCTTTCTACACATCAAAAGGGGACTAAATAGGACGCTCTCTGTTGCAAGTTATCCTTTATAGTTGCCACATTTCCTCCTGGAATAGTCAACAGTAACTTGGCAAGATCTCCCTGGGTATCTTACAGGTTCTGCCACTCATTTTATAACCATGGGTAAATCACTTCTTCACTCTGTACCTTACTTTCCTACTGCAAAATGGTGCTAATAACACCCCTTTCTAAATAACTTGTGATGTTAAAATATTCGTTGCTAGCAAATCCTTTGAGATCCTTTGAGGTGAAGTTCTGAAGTCATGCAAAATGCTTCTCCAGCAAAACCAGCCCCCCAGCTAAAATCATGTGTGCACACATACATTATTGAATCTCGTCTCATATTTTGTTTCAGTGATGCATTTCAGCTCATCTGTGTAACAGGAACCGAAAGAGAGGGCCAGATTTAGATTTCAGCCACAAATAATGGATGCTAAACTTAGCATTATATTAATATCAGCAAGAACAAATCTGGAGTATTTGAAAACTGTGTTCCAGATTGCTGCCTGAGGATTTTATTTGAATCTCACGACAGTCACAAGACCAGGGTGAAAAGACTTTCAAAGTCTAAATTTGCTTTGTGTGCTGCAGCGCTACAGGAAATCAAATACATGCTCTTTTATGGTAATATTTGTTCTTTAGAAAAGAAGTCCCACCAAAGACACCCAGATTTTGCAAAACTTCAAACTGCCATGAAATGAATCCAGAGGTGGTAAACAAAGAATGCCAATGAATTTATCCTTTTGCACTACGTCTGTTAAAACATAACCAAACCAAACCATTGTTTTTTCTGATGATTAATCTGACCACACAGAGCAGAAACTGGACTAAACTGCGTCACATACTAAGACTGCTTTACACAGCTTATCTGTTTTTCTGTTTCAAAGGACATTCATGTCATGGCCTGAGTGTTTTAATTCAATCTGGGGCTGACAGAGGAACACAGCCCTAAGTCACTTTTCCGTCTGTATGTCCATTCGTGTGAGGGGGTCATTCCCAGTCTATTTCTTGTGGCCATAACAATGTGTGATCCATGCTGAGCCCAAGTTTTGGACCTGGAATTGGGAACTGTGTTTTGAATACACCACAGTGTGTACCTGTGTCTGGGTGGTAGGTGAGGGGCTCCTTTAGGGTCAGGTTTGAATCAGCTGCACAGTTCAGAACCAGCAGGTAACTCTGCTCTACACTTTGGTCTAGTCCCAGCTTCTGGCTGTTTACACTTACTATGACCAACTCAGTAATTCAAAGGTAGCAGAATGAGATTTTATTCCATATTTCATCTGCTGATTACCTTTCCCTCCATGTTCCCTACGGTATGCCCCGTTAAATCATTCTGTCCTTTCCCACTTCTTTCCCTTCCACTTCCAAACTCATTTCTCTTTTTCTTGACTCTCTTGTTCTCCTCAGGCTCAGTGGCTAGTTCTCTCCATCTCTCTGAATTACTTGTCATTTCTCAGCTCTCACAGACCCTCCGAGCCCTGACCTTCTGTCTCCTTATTAAAGGGGCTGTCATTCTGAAGAGGTTTTTGTTTCCAGCTTTAAAACAAACATGTTTTTATTATTTTAATGAAATCTGACTTCAGCAAAGAAAGTCAATCAAAGGGCTTGACTGCAAACTTTTTAATTTGGCTGTGTTTGTGCTTCATGGCATGTATGAACATGTAGGTAACTGAAGCAGAGCACTGAAAGCCTGTTCAATGCTGGAGGTTTTGGGGAGAGTGGGGATGGCAAGCAGATGCTTTCCTGAGTTTTGGTCACTGTGTGCTTCCTACACAGCCTGGTCTTTGTGAGGGCGATCGGAACCTCCCTTCACCCTCTCCCATACTTACTGTAAAGGTATAGGCTGGCATTTGTGACCCCCAGCTTGTTGGTAGCCACGCAGGTGTAGTTCCCATAGTGTTCCTCAGTGACGTTGGCCACCATCAGCAGAGACTGGGTCCCCGTACTCTTTATCTCCAGACCGTTGGCGCTGTTTATCCTGGGAAGGCAGGAGAAGAGATGTGTAGTGCAATGGCAGTGGTGTGTTGGGAAGGAAATCGCTGCCTGGCAGGCAGTAAACAAAAGTCATTCAGCTTAGCTGGCAGGTGTGCATGGAGGGAGGCAGGAAGGAGATGTGAGAAGAAGGAGGCCAAGGAAGGCACTGATGGAAAACAGGAGAAGAGAATGAAAGGAAGAAGGAGTGCAGTAGGGTGAAATGCTACCAGAGAAGCAAGAAAAGGGAACAGGAGGAAACCCTTCCCCAGCACCAACTGACACTTGGAAACGAGCACACCATGGCCAGCTGAGGGCTAGTCATACTTGGCCAAGAAGTTTTCAGTGAAACACACCAATTCATGTGTTCTAATACATGTATATACCAAAGCTGAGTCACCCCTGAGCCTGTGCACATTGGTCATTTTAAAAACTAGAATAATAACACAGCCTTCTTAATGCCAGGTAGATGCTGAGTTACAAGGGACAGATCCCATTTCTCTATTCATTTTCTCTCATATGCAAACCTCAGTGGCTCAGGTCACATAGATGGGTGAATCTTACACCTCAGCAGCTCCTTCCCTTACATGAAGGGCACCTAGAGGGGCATTATCTACTTGGAGAGGAACACTACCTAGTTTCTGTCTGTATTATGGTCCATTTAATGCATGAACATCATCAGGAAGAAAGCACTATTGTTATCTTAATTGTGTATTGGCCTATAAATGACTTAAAGATATGAGCTCCATCCTCTGCATTTCCTTCAGCATCCCTAGCACAGAGAGGGATTTCCTCCTCTTGGCTCTGCTGAGTCTGATGGGACCATTGTGATTTTCATGGTTTGCGAAGAGTAATTTGTTTGAGGAGAAGAGCTGGTGAGGACCATAGGTGGTTCCCTAAGGATCTGAAAAGGAGGGGAGAAGAGAGGTGAGCTAAAGGTCTTACCTGGTATCATCTCTGTACCACTCGAAATCAGGTGTGGGCACTGCTGATGCCTCGCACCGGAGTAAGGCTTGTCGTCCTGTGGCCGCTTCATTGCTCTTGGACTCTGTGATGGTGGGAGGGTCTGCAGGAAGGAAACACATAGTCACATCACACACTTCCATGTGGAATAAAACACTGATACTATGCCAGGGCTGGCTTCTCATGCAAACTATTTGGGCCAGTGGGGGCCCATGACTGCTCCTTGCAGTGGCAGATATTTCCCCTGCTCCTCTGGAGAATACCTGCTCTTTGAACTGTCTCTAATACAGCACATTAGCATCACTCCTTACGCATGCTTCCCTTCAGCAATGCTGAATAAAGTGCTGTCATAAATGCACAGGCATACACAGGCACAGTTAAGGTTAATGATGGACTTCTGCAATTTATGAATATTCACCTATGGATCTTTGGTTCACAAGTGCTCATCAGAAAGAAGACTTCATCAAGGGTAAAGGAAGACAGCAAAAGTAAAAGCAATAAAGTAGGAAATTAACACTAGCTTGAAAAATATTTTCCGTACCACCTCTATTGTCTAATGTAATAACTATAATAAGAAAGGAAAGGGCTGAGACAACAAGTATAAGATAAATACGTTCATGGATTCAAAGGGAAGAGCTTTAGCAGGATCTGTGGGTGCGCCTTTGAGAGCCAGACCACTTGTTGAAACGCTCCTCTGAGGTGTCTAAGGTTATAAAACCTGCCCAGACCCTCCTGGACATCATGCTTCCTCAAAGGCTCCAAGAGGGCTTGCTTATGGTTGCTCTGGTTAAAGCTTGCCCTCAGCCCAGCACAGTGCTCCCACCTCTTCTTTGAAACCTGGTAGTTGCTCCATGGGCAAATGGGAGCTTGAGAGCTAAGTCTCAAGGCTGGATGGGTGGCAGGAAGAGGAGGCACCAGCACCTTCAACCCCAGCCCCACATTAAGTGACAAGCTTTATGCATTAAAAGGCAGATTCTTTAACACCTGTTTGATGAGAGGGATCATGGAATAAGTGCCTTGTCTCTCATCACAAATACTTGCATACCCTGAGATTACAGGGCTGCAGCTCAGACAGCTACAGCTGAGACCCAGTTACCATAAAGCACACTCTGCATTTACAGAGCCCAGCTCTGCTCTCTGTATCCATCCCAGCACTGAAAGGCCAAAAAAGGAATCAAAATGGATTGTCTCAGTCAAAGAAAAAAATAATTCTGTCTGGAAAATATATGGGAAGAAGTTTGTTTGTGAGCACATTAACCATCTCAGTGTGATCCCTTTCCTGACCTTAATCGGGATTTTATGCAGGGCTTTAGGGATATTGCAGTGCACCCTCTAACATCATAAATATTAATAAGTGTACATAAATAGGATCCTACATTCACAGGCTGTGGGTTCACGTAAATATTTTAATTTGGGAAGGAGGAGGGGTGATAAAAGGATGGTGAAGGTGATTTTTTAAGCATCCTTCTTCGATTTTTTGCTTTGAGCCATATATCTTCTTGCCATCTGCAGCGAGACAAACCTTTTCCATTTCACTAGAGCCCGCACAGAGGTGAGTCACTACATGAACAGGCACCTTTCTAGGGGCCTAGAAAATGACCTCGGCAGGCTCCTTGCTCTTGCCCATCCACAGACACTCTCCTCGGATGTTTAAAAGGCAGGGCCCACAGGGGTAGCCAGGATGTACCTCAGCCACTGCCGCTCTTGTTAGGGCCTTGCTGCAGCCCTCTACCAACAAAAGGGGAGGCACTGACCTGTTCTCAGGAAGCAGCCACTCTGTGTTTAGCTGTGTGCTGCTGGGGAAGCCAGGAGTGGGTTCCCTTCAGCTCTTTTCCCTCCCCAGGCCTCAGTTTCCCTGTTTGTGATGTGCAAGGGCCATTACTTGGAAAGCCTGAAGGTGGTAGTATGAGACCAAAGCAAGGCAAGGATGCTCTCTCCTGCAGTCCTGGCTGATGAGCTATGTGCTCCACAGTCAGCCGGTGATAAGAGATGGCCAGGCAGCTCCTGAGGTTGGGTAGGTCCCATTTTTCAAACTTACTGTAGTTTTCCCACTTTCTGCTGCTTGTGGTGTAGTTTGAGGAAGCAAGATAAGGAAAGATGTATACAAATGTCTTGCTTTCATTCCCCAGACAGGACTGAGTCTGTTTTCCTGTGTGTGGCCCTCCTGACCTCTTAGATTTTTTCCCTTTGTTTTGAAATAAAAGCTTTGTCCTGAAGGAATCTCTAAGTTGCTTACATTACAAAGCAGGCCACATAATATTCCAATACTCTTATCACATTATGTTTTCATATATTCCAATAGCAAAAACGTTTAAGATCTTACTGTTACATAGTAATTATGAGTTGAAACTAAGTCAAAATCAAGCATTCTGACTTGATGCAAACAATCTGTTTCAGTCACATTAAAAGCATCATTGAAATTATGTTTCACAGAAATATTTGAAAATATTAATTGGTTCTCATGGAATGTCTTGGGTTCACCAACTCAGCCGGTTTTGACAGGAAAAAAACCCTCAGCAGTTGTAGTGCAGAAAATCTGTTACTACATTTTCACATCAATGCCAAATCTGGCCCATGAAGCAGCCGGTATTAAATCACTGCCACCCACTATCTAAGGGAGTTATAACAAACTCTGTGCATTCTGAAGACGCTGCAGGGAGCCTATAACCTTGACTTCTGAGTGAGACAGACAAGTTGATACGATGTGATGGCCCAAAGGGAAAGAACGAGACAAAGAGCAAGACTGGTATTAAAAGGTGTTAAATTCACCTTTTAATATGCTAGCAAATTAGACTGGGATGGGCTGAAACAATTGCTGCCATCAGGTGTGTGCCCTAACCCGCTCTCAGGAGTGCTGTTCATGAATCAAGGCCATGCATATGCACCCTGAGACATGTCTGTAACCATCTCCAATTTCAGTTTAAGTTAATACTCTAGTGTTTAAACTGAAGAAGGTCAAGAGAGGATATACCTTCCATTTATCCATCCCTGCTGCAGTAGTATTAGCCTCCAAGCAAGGAAACAGAGCAGGGGGATGGGAATATTCACTTTAAATCACTCCAGTGCTAAATATGAGCAATACAAATACGGAGGTGGACATAGACACATGTAGGATTATAAGAGTAATGGCAATCTGAAATATCTTGTGTCCATGTGAGAGGAGCACACCAGCAGAGTGAAATTAAGCCAGTATGGGCAATGGGATCAGTGCCCTACTCATACAGCTATGGATATAAGCCACATAGCTAATTGTGCCTCTCTGTGGTGGGTTGCCATATCCTTTGGTCAAGCCCCTTTCTGCATTGGTGCACGGAGAGTCTCTTAGAGGGCTTTATGCTAATGACTTAAACCCAGGATAAAAGTCAAGTTTTTGTACCCTCTCATTAACACATGCCCCTTCCACACATGACCCCAGACCCCTAGGTTGTGATACCCTTGGGCTGTGATACCCCTGGGCTGTGATCCCCATGCATGAACTGCTGAGATGGCTGGGTGCAGGCACACGTGTGCTTGCTCTGAGCTGGCTGAACCCTCCCTTATCTCTCTTTGCTGCCTTGCTGAAGCTTCTTTTCACTGTTCTCCCAAATATCAGTGAGTCAAAACAAGGCATCGCCAGTGTTTCTGAGGGGAGAGACAGAGGCAACTCACAGCTCCTCTCTTTTTGTCTCTCTTTCTCCCTTTGTCTATCTTTTCTTATATATTACCAGGTTTAAAGCACAAACTATCCCCTATGATGTGTCTGACTGCAGATAGTTTCTTCAGCGTCCCTCTCCCCCAGTTCAGATCATATAATATAAACCCATATTTATCCTAAAGTCACCCCTGCCTGTGGGCAAAGCTGTCCCTGCTGACCCGCTCCAGTTGTGATGTACTCACAGTTCACAGTGACCCGGACTTGCTTGACGTCTGCTGAAGCAACCTCATTGGCAGCTTTGCATTCGTACTTGCCCGATTGCTCTCGCGTGATCCCTAGGATCTCCAGATACTCTTCCTCGCCTTCAAACTCTCTGCCTGATAGGACAGAAAAATACAGATAGTAGCACTGTTAGGCACTGAGATTTGGGAAGCCTTCTGCTTAATCGCTATGGAGGAATAATCATGGCATGGATTCTGCAAATACATAACAGTCATGAATGATTCTGAAGTTATTTCAGAAGCCATATCAGCAAGATAATAGTGTTTAGTTTAGTTATGGAAAACTTGGGTTCTGGAAATCTGGAAAGAAGCATATATATGGTACCAAAGCTTTGCATCTCACAGGCTGGCCAGGCCAAGCAGCAAAATCTCTACCGTATAAGACCAGAGTAGGTTCACTGTTGTGATGGCCAAGTACTGGGGACCAGAAAGGCTGGTTTAGGGCCAGATGGGTCCTCAGATGTGGTGGTGTATTGTCAGCACCCTTTTCTCCATGGCAAAGCTGTCTCAGAGCAACCAGCACCCTAACGTGCCATGGATCAGATCTCGTTAAACACAGCCAAACTGAGAAAAACAAAGTGTGAACTGATCTGCAGAGACCAATAATCATCATGAATCCCTGATCTTCTGAACATATGCAATGACATATTTAAGCCTTGCTGCCTCACTAATGCAGTTTTGAGAGCCGTGGCTTGACCATTGGGGTTACAGCTCGGGGCAGCACTCAGGGGAGGGCTGTGGCCTTGCCTTTAATTCACTGTGTGACCTTGGGTGAGTCACTCCCTTGCTCTCCCTCTGTCAGCTGTGGCTAATAGCCCTCTTCTCCCATCACCTCCTGGTCAGAGAAAGGCAGTGAGATTAATGCATATAAACCGCATTAGAATCGTTGCATGAAAAGCACCAGGGAAGCGTGAAATATTAGGAGTGGTGTATTTACCCTGTTCCTTCAGGAAGCAAAGTAAAGGCCTTTCCTGGAAAGAATCTGAACCACATTAGCAGCAGTGCAAAGGGAGATGCTTCTCTCCTCCGGGAGCGCTGCAAGCAGTGGTCTGCAGCATGCAAAGCCACAAACCCCAACTGTGTGCCTGTGTGTGTTCAGAGAAAGCATCCTTTAGTCCTCAAAAGGCTTAAAGCCAGATTTCAAAGCAAAACAAGAAAAGGTCAGCTCACAACAGCTCCCATTCAGGTTTCTCAGAGTGTGGTCAGGTTTTCCAAAGCAGCTCCCTGCCCAAAAGACATTTTCAGTTTGATAGGTGCCAAGCACTTCTGAAACCCTGCTTACTTCGTGTATGTGCTTACAGCTGTTCAATGGAGTTCAGATAGTGCCTGCAAGGACAGGACTGTTGTCCTTGGCTCTGCGACACTGCATGGAAGCAGTGGGTAAGCCCCGTCTCTGGAGCTCAGGCTGCAGTGAATCCCACCACACAGGCACAGGCTTGCTGCAGTGTGTTGGCCAGGTCAGGCTGGTGATGCTCGCAGCATGCATTTCCCTTCTGCATCAGAGGCAGGGACTCCAGCCACTTCAGAATCTGCTCACAACTCTGTCCCTTACACAAGTATTTTTGCCTTTTCTATAGTTTTTCTTTTCCCCAGGCAATTTTCGAGCCATTTTAGGGGACACCCCCCCCCCCGCCCCCCCCCACTGTCATGGAGGCTTAGCATGAAAACAGCAGTGTACCTATTAAACTCATATAAAAACAATAAAGACAATGTTTCCCCTCTCTTCCAAGTGGGGCTGTCCAGCAGTCCCTTTTCCAGCTCCTACCAGATGTTTAGGTGAGTGGAATTCTCATTGCTGTGTCTAAGCCTTATAACTGTTGCGATGCAGTTCTCGCACCCCCTAACAGTCTGCCAAAGGGCTTTATTGAGCGATAGTAATGTATTTAACAGGGTAGGGAAGCAAAGTTGGCTCCTGATGCCTACTCAGTGCTCCAGGACACAGGTCTGTGCACTGGGGCTGATACTATGGAGTGTCAGTGCAGAATGAAGCAGGGTGGGATTTTCACAGGTACTTTTATCACTGCAACTCATGAATATTTTAGGGAATCTTCACCTCTGTAGGACCAGGGTTAGGTGAGTCATAGTACTGGAAGGGACTTCATTCACCATCCAGCCAATATCCCCAGCCTCAAGGCTGGACACATAGGTCATGTCAGGGAGACAGTCATCCTCTGCCCTGCAGCCGCTCCAGACAATCTGTTCCTGTGCTTTGCTGTCCTTACCGCTGGAGCAGTTTCCCTGAAGTTTGACCCGAGCCTCTCTTGCTGCAATTTAAAGCTATTATTTTTGTCTTAGCCACTACAGACAAAAAGAACAAATCATTCCCTCCTTCTCTGCAATAGCCTTTTATCAACTTTTAAATCACTTATGTTCCTCCCTCAGTTGTCATCATTTTTTTCCCCTCTTTTCTTTCTTAGGCTGAACATTGCCAGGGTCTTTCAACCTTCCTCTGTAGGTGAGGTTTTTTTCAGACCATAGATCATTCTTGTTCCTTGCTTTTAGACCTCTCTGAGAAGTTCGCATTTTTCTGCAAGTGCAATACCCCAAACTGAACACAGCGTTTCAGATGAGCTCTTATCATGGCTGAACACAGGTGAAGGATTGAATCGTGGCTTCTGCACTGTGCCGCTGTCTGTACAGCCAATATATTGTTTGTGTTCTTGCCAAAGCATGATTCATTTTTGGTTGGGAACTCTTTTAATTCCCAGATCTTCTTATCACATATTGCTACCTGCTAATAACGCTCTTTGAAAATCCCACTCCCAATTTGAGCTGACAACCAACACTTCCTTCCTTTCACAGCAGCGCTCCCAGTTGGTAGGTCAGCCAGTTGACTGGAAAGTTAATCAGACATCAGGGAAAGACTCACAAAGAAAAGGTTAAAACGTAATTTGCCTCTGCTTTGCAAATCATTTGCTCTGCAGTTCTGCCTTGTTTATACACAGGGTTCATTCCAAGTGGGACTTGCTTCTCCTGCAATATGCCCTTGTCACAAGACTGTCATCATAATGAAAAGAGGGTTGAGGGTGACTTAAAGAGCTCTAATGGAGTGGCACCCTCATTAAGGGTGCTGTTAATTCTGTCTGTCAGAGAACCACATCAATGGAGCTCCAAAGTGTCTTACAAGGATACATACTTTCCTAAGGGAAGATGTTTTTCAGCTTCTCCCCAGCATATGTACATGCACTTAAAGTCTAAACTCTGTACCATCTCCAGCAGCAGAGCTTTGACAGCTATGGGCAACCCTTCTCAAGGCATAGAGTCACAGGATGGTTTGGGTTGGAAAGGACCATAAGATTACCCAGTTCCAGCCCCCTGCAATGGGCAGGGGTGCCTCGCACTAGACCATGTCAACGAAGGCTCTTCCAACCTGACCTTGAACTTGGCCAGGGATGGAGCATTGACTTCTTCCCTGGGCAACCCATTCCAGTGCCTCACCACCCTTACAGTAAAGAACTTCTTCCTTATATCTAATCTAAACTTCCCCTGTTTAAGCTTGAAGCCATCATCCCTTGTCCTATCACTACAGTCCTTGATGGAGATTCCCTACCCAGCATCCCTATAGGCCCCCTTCAGATACTGGAAGGCTGCTATGAGGTCTCCACGCAGCCTTCTCTTCTCCAGGCTGAACAGCCCCAACTTCCTCAGCCTGTCTTCATACGGGAGGTGCTCCAGTCCCCTGATCATCCTCAAGGCCCTTCTCTGGACTTGTTCCAACAGTTCCATGTCCTTTTTATGTTGAGGACACCAGAACTGCACACAATACTCCAGGTGAGGTCTCACGAGAGCAGAGTAGAGGGGCAGGATCACCTCCTTTGACCTGCTGGTCACATTCCTTTTGATGCAGCCCAGGATACGGTTGCTTTCTGGGCTGTGAGCGCACACTGAAGCCAGCTCACGTTCAGTTTCTCATCGACCAACACCCCCAAGTCCTTCTCCGCAGGGCTGCTCTGAATCTCTTCTCTGCCCAACCTGTAGCTGTGCCTGGAATTGCTCCAACCCAGGTGTAGGACCTTGCACTTGGCATGGTTAAACTTCATGAGGTTGGCATCAGCCCACCCCACAAGTGTGTCAAGGTCCCTCTGGATGGCATTCCTTCCCTCCAGGGTATCAACGGAACCACACAGCTTGGTGTCAGTGGCAAACTTGCTGAGCTGCTGGTTTGCACAGCGGAGCTCTCTAGGAATGAGTGCAAGGGAGGACTTCTGTTTCAAAGGGCATGCCAGAGACATCAATAGGCCTATTCAGCTCCTCATTCCCCTGCTCCAGGAGACACATACAACCTTAACACTTCAAGGAAAGTTTCTGTGACAGTCTCTTGCTGAAATAGTGGTAACACTATTCTTGTCCCTGCACTGGTGACCTGTTTCAACCCTGGGCATCAACATCTTGCTACAAGACCTCAACTACTCTTGCGTGCAAGAAAGACCCTGTTGCTTGCAGCCCTAACTAACACAGCCCTAATGTACTCTAAGAGTACATTAACCGTTTGTAACAAAAAGCATTTATGTGAAATTGAGGTGTCATAGTACAGACCAGGGAGAGGAAAGATGTATCACAGCGTGTTAGAAGAATGTCAGGTTGTGGTATCTTGCACAGCGCTGTAGAGATGTTTTCACTAATTCACCTTGGCAGCCAGATTAGGTGAGTCATATTAAGTCTAACCTCTAAGGCAAAAGTGGGGCAAGGGGAGTAGGAACAGAGCTTTATACATCGAGCAAATTTACTAATGTTTCTGAGCAGCAGTCAGCTTTGGCAGGGAGCTGATGGCTGCCACTATGCAGTTTATCAAAGCGGAGAGAGAAAAGGCTTGGACAATGCCCTTTGGTACAGATAACAATGAACATATTCTATTAGGTGAAGAGAGGGACTGCCTGCTCGTGGCAAGTGAGCCACTCCATTTCCATTAAGAGGTTTGCCTTGAGCATGCTATCCAGGGATGAAATCCTGACCGTACAGCCAGACCGTCCTCGCTGACAAGGGTTATCTCCTGCCTGCTTTGTCTGGTTCAGTAAAACCCCTTCCTAGTGAAGGCCTTTCCAGGTTTACTTAGGGTGATGACTCCTCATGCAGCACAGCTCTTCTCACCCCAAAGC